AGTTTTCAAGGTCAAAACCAAGAGACTATATTTACAGAGCTCTGAAAAGTCTTAATAAATGTCTAGGTGCTAACATACTGCTTTAAATAGAAAAGTCTCCAGAAAGGTTTCCAGCTTTTAATTCCAGAGTTTCACAACAGGTTAGCTGCTGAAATAAGGGGAAGGTTATGAGCTGGTCTGGATCACAAGTCAATGTCTTGGGCCTTTCAGCTATCTCTACTCATAATATATCAGAATATTTATTGTTGCTTATATACAATTTTTAAATGCATTTTATTGAAATATAATTTACATACAGTGAAATACACAAAACTCTGGTAGCATAGGGCCTAAGGCACTTGACTGCTAACCAGAAGGCTGGCAGTTCAAACCCACCAGCCACTCCTCGGAAGGAAGATGGGGCAATCTACTTCTGTAGTGATACTGCCTCGGAAACCCAAGGAGGGGTCGCTATGAGTCGGTCCGACTTGACAGCACATAACAACAACAACAACAAAGTGACATCGGTCAATGCATTTTTTTTTTTTGGCAGTGTTCCCTCTCCTCCCCTCCCACCCCTGGCAACCAACAAAGTAAGTTTCCTTCTGTATATAAACCTTTCCTTGACTTTTTACAATAATGAATGTTCTAGTTAGCTAGTGCAGCTCTGACAGGAATATACCACAAATGGGATGGCCTTAACAAACAGGAGTTTATTCTCTTACAGTTTGGAGACTTGAAGTCCAAGTTCAAAGTGCCAGGCTCTAGGGGCTGAGTGAAAGCCCCTCAGCCTTGGGTTTCAGCTCTGCTTTCAGCTCCTGGCCCACTGAAGCTAGAGGTGTTCCTTCACTCAGACAGCTGCTGCTGGCTGCTGAGGCTGCCAAGCCCAAGGTTGACAAGTAACAAGGCACAGTCCTGATATTACCAAATCACAAGGCAGGTCATTAACTCAAATCCATTATAAGTCCCAAGGTTGGCAGAGCATGGCAGGCTGCTGAACAATGACACAGCTACATGCAGGGTCCAAGGTGCCATAAGCTAGAGACTATCCCCAAAGCTTCTCCTTATATATAGGAAGCAGACCGTATCCCAAAGGCAGATACTCAGCTGCTTGTGGTAGATCCCACCATGGAGTTGATTGCCAGTCTCATCATGGGGAATAACTACCACCAGCTGCCCAGCCACTCAATCAGGCCCAGCAAAGTTGACATACAAACTGAGCTACCACAATGAATTAATACTATATTTGTCCTTCTATGATTGACTTATTTCACTCAGCATAATTTCCTCCAAGTTCATCCATGTTATGAGGTGTTTTAGACACTCTACATTATTCTTTAGTGCTGCATAGCATTCCATTGTGTGTATGTACCATAGTTCAGTCATCCAATTTTCCACTGATGGGCACATAGGTTGTTTCCATTTTTTGCTATTGTAAATAGTGCTGTGATGAACATAGGTGTGCATATATCTGTTCCTATCCTGGCTCTCACCTCTCTAGCATATATACCTAGTAATGAGATTGCTGGGTCAAATGGTATCTCCAATTCCAAGGATTCTAAGGAATCACCATACCGCTTTCCACAGTGGTTGTATCACTTCACAGTCCCATCAGCAGTGTATGAGAGTCCCAATCTTCCCATATCTCCGCCAGCATTGTTATTTTCTGTCTTGTTGAACCTTGCCATCAGTGCTGGGGTGAGATGGTATCTCATTGTTGTTTTGATTTGCATCCCTCTGATGGCCAATGACCATGAGCATCTCTTCAAGTGTTTGCTGGCCACCTGAATATCCTCCTTGGTGAAGCGTCCATTCATATCTTCTGCCTATTTTTCAGTTGGATTGTTAATTTCTTTGGTGTTGAGGCTTGAAGTTTTCTATAAATCTTAGAGATAAGTCCCTTGCCAGATATATAACTATTGACAAGTATGAATTTGTTGCTATCATTTTGTTATGTACTTTTCTGTAGTGTTGATTTCTTTGTTCCCTATAACTTGCTGAGCTCATTTTGTTTATGAATCGTGTTATCACTTCCTTCGTTGCTGTTGTTTTAGTATTTGCTAAATTATTTGTGATGGTCTTCTTTTTTAGTTTGATATGAAGGTTTATCATTTTCCTTTAAGGTTATCCTGTGATTTATAGTTTTCTTCCCAAATTTAGAACAGTCCATTCTATCTTGTAGTTGTCTTGACTTCCCTACCATCTAGAAGTTCTGTAACTACACAGTTTATTCCCCTCTTTTTGGTCTGTAGTTGTCTTCATTTGTCAATTGATGTCTTTGGTTCCCTGTTTACTATCTTATAGGCTTATTTAGTTTGGATTCTTCCATAGCTGGGTTGGTTTCTGGGTTATGTCACCATGTGGGTTAATGGTCAGTTGTTGTCTGCTGTTGTTGCTTCTCTGTTCAAAGGACTCTCTTTAGCATCTCTTGTAAGGTTGGTCTGGTTTTAATAAATTCCCTTAATTTCTGCTTATTTGGAAATGTCCTAATATCCCCATCATATTTGAGGGACAATTTTGCTGGGTACATAATTCTTGGTTGAAAACTTTTCTCTTTCAGGGTTTTATATATGCCATCCCATTGCCTTCTTGCTTGCATGGTTTCTGCCGAGAAATCAGAGCTTATTCTTATTAATTGCCCCTTGTAGGTAACTTTTTGTTTTTCTCATGCTGCTTTCAGGATTCTTTCCTTTTCTTTGGTTTTGATGAGTTTGATGATGATATGTCTTGGTGCTTTTCTTTTTTGGATCTATCCTGTTTGGGGTTCGTTGGACTTCTTAAATGCATATATTCTCATCTTTCATCCTACCAGGAAAATTCCCTTCCAACAAATCTTTGACAATTTTCTCAGTGGTTTTATTTGTCTCTTCCTGTTCTGGAATTCTGATTACACATAGGTTATTCCTTTTGATGATATCCCAGATGAACCTTAGGCTTTCTACACTTTGTTTTCATCTTTTTTTCTGGTTGATTGCTTTCCAAAGAATTATTGAGGTATTTGCCTTCAATCTCACTAATTCTATCTTCCATTGATTCAATTCTGCTCCTTTGCCTGTTCAATGTGTTATGTATTTCTGAAAATTTAGTATTAATCTTCTGGATTTCTATCTGTAGATTTTGTTTCATATCTAATTTTTCATTTATTTTGTCATTTTGTTCTGGTGTTGTCTTTCAAAATTGTTCTAGGGTTTTCTCTGTGTCTTCCTCAATTTTGTCAGTGTTTTCCTTGATCTGTCTCTCAATTCGTTGAAGATACCTAAATATAATTCTTTGAATTCCTTATCAGGGAGTTCCAATGCCATGTCTTCCTTCGGGATGTGTTTTGGGTCTGTATCCTTTTCCCTTGTTTCTCTTGCTTCTTTTTGTGGATTGTGATGCTCTGCTGTCTCTGAGGCATTGTGGTATTTTTGCGTTTATATTTAATTGGTGATTGTATGTTGGAGTGACTTGCCCACAGCTTTCCTTTTCTTTGTATGTTATCTACGTAAGCAGGGTACTGTGCTGTGCTCCTCTATTTGCTAGTTGCCAGCTCTTATACACTCACCACCTGTCTCCTTTCCCATTGTCAGCCTCCTGTATGTCCCTGCCATCCTTGGCAAAAAGAGCCTATTCTTAGGTCCCTGGAATTTGAATGAGAATGCTATCACTTTAAAATAAAAAATGGCCATCACTTGTAAAGATTCAAAATTGCTGCACCCTTGGTCACTTTAACTATACAAAATGGCTACCACTTGTAAACATTCAAAATGGCTGTGTCCTCAGCCACTTTAAATAACCAAAATGGCCACTGCTTGTAAACAATCAAAATGGCTGCACCCTCCGGATAGCCGAAAGTCTACAGCTCAGATTGTCTCCCACCTTGCTGTTTCCCTTCCTAGTCATAGGCCACCAGCATAGTCGTCCCTGCAGCCCTTGGCAACCAGGACTGATCTTTAGGTCAATTCTCAGGTCCCAACACCACTTGGAAATATTCAGACTGTTGATCCTGTCAGAGTAGCTGACATTCCATTGCTCTGACCATCTCTGTACTCACTGCTTTTGTTCAGGTTTTTCCACTAGTTAGTGCCATATCTACTTCTGTATCCTTCCTTTCAAAGCTCAGGGCTCCAGGATTATCTTCTGTATCTCTGTCAACTGGTTTCCCTTTTCTTTGTTGAAGAGGGTCTGTGGAACTGGTCTGCCTATTCCATCATCTTCCGATATTCAATTTTTAATGGACTAGTAGAAGCTGCAGGTTGGAGGAGGGCAGAAATAGTCTAACGATATTTTCCAATTCCTCCAGCTAATATAAGTTCAGGCCTGGGGTTCAAAGTATCATATACCTTTTAAAACATAAAAGAGAATGTACTACTATTTTAAAGGGTGGTTTCACAGCACTACCTTTTAAGAAAAGTGATTCCAATACTAGATTATTAGCTCAAATAAAATAAAATTTCCCAGAAGAGGTTTTTTTTTAAACAAACATTTGCATATGTACCAGGTACTCTTCCAAGTACTTTATAAATATTAACTCATTTCATCCTCCTAGTAATTCCAACAGGTGAAGTCACTTACCCAAGGTCACAGATCTGAAAGTAGTAGAGCCAGATTGAAATCCAGGAAGTCTGGGTCTCTATCCATTATACTATGCAACTATTTTTTTCATGACGACCTCTCAGAATATGCAGTCATAATGCCCATTTATCTGTTACTTCAAGTTGGGCAGATGGTGTCCAAAGAGAAAAGTATTTGATCTATTTCTTCCACTTCATAGGGACAGGGAAATAGGTCTCTAAGCTTCCCCTTTTTCCTCACACTGATTTCTTATACTCTCTCATCTCTACTGCCATTGAGGTCACCATTCTACTGCTGGCTCCCAAGCGTGCTCTGTTTCTCTCCCTCTCTCTTGCACAGACACACACACTCACACAGAGCTATTACTGTGCTTCAGTGAAGCTGCACGGGGTTTGTGATCTGGGCATAAAAGCAGACATCATTTGCTCATTAGAGCTAAGTTTTCAGGACGTGCCCCACTTACTGACCTCCACTAACGGCCTGGGTTTGCGCTCGACTGCAAACCTGAAGTGGCAGAGTTCACAGTAGCTGGTGTTTGAGGATGACAGCCAGTGCTCCAGGCAGCTCCGATGAATTGTCCCCAAGGTCCCCGTACATTCACATGGAGAGAGTAAGTCCTCTTGGCTGCTGCCTTCATGGCAGATCCTGCACATTGGCCGGTCATTGAAGGGGCTGCAAGAAAAGGAGGGGCACATGTCAGTCACTGGGCTGGAAACCACCATCTTAGAATGGCCTTCAAGCTCCGTGTCCTACAGACCTTCCCCAGTGGGAGCTGTTCAGAACAAAAAGCGTCTTTCCTCTTATTCCTTTCTTGATATAAAATCCCTTAGATCTACATTTGCACTGGGCAGTGGGAGGCCAGTGCTGAGATGGGTCTTGGATACTCTCGAACATTTATCCCTTCTATTTTTTGCCAACATAAAGAAATAGAGGGTGGCAATATCAAAGCAGCTGGGTGTGGTCCAGAGCCAAAAGGGAGTGAAAATGTGCAGTAAGTTATTTTTGCCTCAAGCACGGTTGGAGTTCAGGGAAACTAACAATCAAATAATAATAATAATAATAATAAATCCCACACCATTAAGAATAGACATTGTTTTGAAATGACACCAAATATAGTTTCCAGACAAACTGAATATGTCTTTTGAACCAGGTCAGGATATTTTTGTACACCCAGATGTTCATTTCCTTTCTCATCTCAATAGCGTGGGAGAATGAGAGGAAAGACGTTAGTTAACTGGCAGCAAACACCAAAGCTGCCATATACAATGGCAGTAAGTCAGAGTAGAGTCTTTTGAGCTTTTCCTAGGGTGTTCTCAGGGATGCCAAAGAGACTAGATGCAGCGTAAGCAGTGAGCATGACCTATTGAGGTGGGCTTAGTTTCAAGTTTTGTCTTTAATTTGGAAAAACCACCTCTGCACATTTCATGAAGGCAGCACAATGTAGCAGTTCAGGGTATAGGTTCTGGGGTCCAGCTGTCTGGGCTTGAACCTCAGCTCTGCTGGACAACTTTGGACAAGTAACTTCATCTCTCTGTCCTTTAGTTTCCTCATCTCTTAAATGGGAACAAAGAATGATGCCTTCCTGATATAGTGATCAAGACGATTAGAAAAGACAGTCTACATTGGAAGCTTAGAATAGTAACTATAACTGGTTGCTATCACTCGATTCTAACTCATGGTGACTCCATGTATGTTAGAGTAGACCTGTGCTCCACAGGGTTTAAATGGCTGATTTTTCATAAGTAGAACACCAGGCCTTCCTAGGGGCCTCTGTAAATAACCAGCTAAAACTAGCTATTTTCGCTCATGGAAAAACTCAGACCCAGGACAATCAAATCACATGACCATTACATAAATCAGGGGCCAATGAGGGGATCATATGGAAGAAGTGGCCTCACTTTTCAATGGATACTGTGTCTTATTGGAGGACCCATCCCTCTCTGATCAATATCTCCTTACACTATGTGTGCTGTTCTTCACTTGGCATTAGATTTTAAAGTATGCTTCACTGTATGTGCCCACCCGGGGACAGCATCTTCACCCATCCTCCCCTGCCTCTCCTCTGCCTCCTAAGGATGACAGTGAGTCAGGTCCATCCCCATCATTCTCTTTAACACCCACTTTGGTCCAAATGGAAACACTGCTGTTTCTCAAAGGTCTTATTGGGAATGATCCTGGGAATGAGTATAGGCAAATGGGGATTAAAAAAGGAAAGGATCTCCCCTTCCCTATCACCACTAGCCCAAAATACCTAATCATGCTGGGGCAAAAAAAATTAAAAAAGGAAGTCTACAGAGTCTATTGCTGGCTGCCTTCACTCACAGTGAGCCATGTGCATGCAAAAGTCTGGAACAAACATGCAGCGGTTCATGGGTCTCAATGATGCACACTGTTCTTCCTAACAAACAAGCTGTTTGATGGTGCAGGTGACTGAAGCCCATTGTCACCCAGACTCAGTTCAGAGGAACAGTGATGCTCACCCCATTCATCACATTCTGAGTTCTAACCAATTTTTAGAAGTTCTTTGAGAAGTGGAAAAATATATATTAAAATTTGTTTGTATTCTTTGTGAGAGCTGATCAGTTGAAAGTAGAAGGCCCATGTCTGATGTCTGCAACCTGTGTGTGTGCCTGTGACTGCATGTCTAAGAGCCAACATCTTGTCCAGCTCTGGCTACAGGCAGCAAGAAATGCTGTACTGCCACTAGCAGATTTGCTGCAGACACATGTACATATCTGTAGGTCAGCATCTATACCAGAGGGTTGGAGTGAATCACTCAGAGAACGAAGTCAGCTATTAAGGTTTCAGGGTCAGAAGTGTCAGACACCAGACAAGTCCAGTGTTGATACATTCATGTTTTCAAAGTCTCACATACCCATTCTGAAAGAAGGCTGGAGAAGCCAATGAACATCTATTAGCCTGGCAGCCTATGGCAAGAAGAGTCTGGACTTCCAATCTGCCACTGGGCAACAACAGCACAAGAGGAGACCCCTGGGGACAAAGTCCAAGCCTCGATAAGCCATCTCCCTGCTGTTTAGAGCCTTCCACTTTGTTTTAGCTCATCACTCAGGGAAGATGCACTGTGGACAATAAGACTTCATAGGGTGGGGAGGAGGAAGTCATGAATAGGGAATCCAAAGGGAGTGAAGAAGGCGACAAGAGAAGACACCCACAAGTGGGGATGTGCCAAAGAGGCGTGAGCACTGTCCAGGCAGCAGCCCTGAAGTGTGCATCCCATCAGGCGGAGCTGATTAGCATGAAGACCAGGAATGCCACTTCAAAAGTTTTGATCACAGATCAGAATCACTGTGGCTTAGTCACTTGAATTCAGGTGGCTTCTTCTTTCAATTCTAACAAAGGTAGCCCTTTGTTGGTGCTTGAAGAAGACAAGAACGTAATTACCACAGCAATGTCAAAATAACAAATGTAAAGCAAGCAATCACATGTCTTGTAGGATCTTTCCCTGCCTGGCTCTCTCTGCAAGTGTGGCTTTAAGCAGGAAACTAGACAACGTGAATTTTAGCTTTATGCCCATTGCTATAGAAACGACAATGACAGAACGGTGTAATCCCCTTTTTTTTTCTCTCTCCTAGCACCTGCTCTCACCTGACACAAAGACCTGAGCACTAATTACATCCCCTTTAGCAATTTCCACCTGACAAAGAGTTCTGTGGATCAATAACAGATTTATTTATTTTAATTGTGGTACTACCTCTGGGTGGCAAGAGTCCGCACTACTGTTGAGAGCAGCTGCCCGTCCTTGGCTGAAACTTGCATGACATACTGTGGCTGACCATTCACTAGGCTGCCACAATCCTCCACAGTCTTCACCACGGGCACAGCAGAGCTGGTGCAGTCTGGCAGGACTTCAGGCAGGTGACTGCAGCGGCTGGTTGTCATGGTAACAGACAGCAATTACTCTGCTAGTGGCTTCCACATTCATACAGGATTTCCATCTAAGAGAGATCAGAAAACAGTTTACTTGGGCAGGGTGGTTAACAAGAAAATGAATTACAGGCCACCAATGTTATCATGTCATTATTTAATATAAATAACAAGGGTAACTGTGGCACATTATCTGGTTACCATTTTTACACACATACACATGCACACACACATGCATGCACACAGAACCCATGAGAAACAGAAGTGCTTATGAACAAGACAGCAATCATGTTGGTCTATAAAAACATTTCGGAGCCCTGCACTCCACAGGGGGTGGGGAGTGATGGCTTGGAAGCCCAGATGCAAAGAGAAGATAAGTAGTTCTCCACACTCTGTGCCACAGAAGCAGTAAGTCTTTGTTGACACTCTCTAAAAGTTCCTCGAGTCATTATTAAAACTGTTCACAGCTATTTTTTCCTCCATAAGCAATTTATTCTCTGTGCAGCTTCATTCTGAGATACTGAGATTAAAAAGAAGAAGAAAGAAAATATGAAAAAGAACTTGGCCAACTAGTACCTTCCACAGCAGTACCTGTCAAACTTTCATTAAGATACCAACTTCCTGACTTTTGCCATATCTCAAAATATAATCACCCACTTAATATATTTTCTTCACTTAATATGTTTCAAAAATTAACTTCCCTTTAAAAATGAAACCTATTTTAGCCTCATCTTAAACAAAATTATTTATGAAATAATGAGTTTCATGAGCTCCTTATATATTTTTTTCCTGATGGACATTAAAATACATATATTACCAGGGGAGGGGAGGGAAAACTGCTAGAAAGGTAAGAGACAAATATTGATTTGGGTTAAAGGAAAAGCAATATACCAAAAGCGAGTGACCAATACAGTAACACTAAGGAAAAGGAAGACACAGAGAAGTGCACAGGAGGTACAGACAACAAAGATAAACACTTTTACATACACAATACTGCATTACCAGTAACAACAAACATAAATACATAGGTAGACAGACTGAATGATCAGACTGAATGTCTAGGCAAAAGGGAATATACCCATGATCATATAGACATTTGAGGAACTCTGGTGGTGTAGTGGGTAAGTCATTTGGCTGCAAACCAGAAGGTCAGTAGTTCAAATACACCAGCTGCTTTGTAGGAGGAAGTTGAGGCAATTTACTTCCATAAAGATTTACAGCCTTGGAAACCCAACTGGGGTCTCTATGAGTCAGAATCGACTTTATGGCAGTGGGTATACATAAGTTTGGCAGATTGTATTTCTACATACATAATTCTATGTGCTATAAGAATGTCCAAGTAAATAATAGAGCAAACAGTGGGCAAAGTTATGATAACTTCTTGGCCAGAGCCAACCACGCTGAGGGAGTGAGTTGTTGGGCCTGTTGCTCAGGACTATGGTGGTGGTGGGGGACATCAAGCTCAATTTGCATAATACACTACACATAAACATTTTTCTACATCCTTTGGGCAATCTACTTCCATAGAGATACCACCTCAGAAACCCAAGGAGGGGTCACTATGAGTCAGAATCAACTTGATGGCAGTGAGTTTTTGTTTGTTTGTTTACTTTGGTGAGCAGCAACTGGGGTCTTTAAAAGCTTGCAAGAGGCCATCTAAGATGCAACAATTGATCTCTCCTCATTCAGAGCAAAGAATGAAGAAAACCAAAGACACATGCAAAGAATTAGTCCAAGGGACTAGTGGACCATCCAAACCTCAGCCTATATGACAGTGAGACCAGAAGAACTAGATGGTGCCTGGATACCACTGACGACCACTTGGAAAAGGCTTAGTGTAGGAGATCCTGGACAGAGTGGGAGAGAAATGTGGAACAAAACTCAAAATAAAAAAAAAAAGGTCAGACTTACTGGTCTGATAGAGGCTGGTGAAATTCCTGAGACTGTGGTCCCTACTCATCCTTACGGTCTGGAATTGAACTCACTCTCATGGTTTCCAACCAAACAATAGACAGGCATATAAGGCGAACATTTATACCAGGTAAGCACACTTCTTATAACAGTCAACTATGAGAGATCAGATGGGCAGTATTCGCACCGGGAAATAGCTCAGAATGCAGGAATACACAGGAAAGAAGGACACAGGGATTAGGGAGAAAGTGAGAAGAGAGCTATTACATTATGGGAATTGCAGTCAATGTCATGAAACAAAATGTGTATGAACTGTTATATGGAAAATGAATTTGCTCTGTAAACTTTCACCCAAATCACAATAAAAAGTTTAAAAAAATACACATATCACCTTGATTTTTGTTCATTTGTGTAGTACTTAAAATCCAGAAGGCATCTACATCAACATAGGGAAACACGTAGGAGATGGCAAGCAAGTGATGAATGAGATCTCTACCACCCATTGAAGACAGTCTATTTTTAATAAAAGCCTTACCTCTCTGACACACAGTCTATCATATAAATGAAAAGGAATTCCATTCCCTATCTGTGTGGTGCAGGCACAGGCTGTGACCTCATGTTCAAAGCATACAGAACCGCTGGGGTGAAGAACCCTACTGCACCCAGTAAGAGGTCTGATGTGTAAGAAATAAAGGCCTGTACAGACATTTGCAGGAGGACTCATTCAGGACCAAAGGTGAGATGACACAGTTTCATGGACCATATGTATTGTTTCTTCTAGCCTCATCACCTCAAGTCCTGGTCTCACACAGCCTGGACTTAGTAGGGGAGCAGTAGGGCCAGCTGATGGACTAAGTTCATGTCAATAACCAGTCTTAGTAGGACGATGCTAACAGGGGAGTGATACATGTAGTATGTTTTCGTACCTTGAAATAGGTTATACCTTTTAAATAATTTCATAAAAAATCAAATAATAACCAGTTTTGTTGATTTAAGGCCCCAAGTCTAAAAAAATCTTCTCTCCCTCCTCAATCTCAACAGCATTTCTGGAATTCCTCAAAGGGTTGTTTTCTCCCACATATTTGTGGCTACACATTGTATTTTACTTGACCTCCACAGATCTGGAAAATAGGGTCGTCCCAACTCCCATGATAGGGCAGGCAATGTACATGGACTAGACATTTTCAGGGTGACATACCAGTGTTTCTGGATGAACATGAGCTGACATTTTCTGTCCCAGTAACCATATATCAAGTAGGCTTGACTGTCTGAGACAATTGGATATGAGCATAATCCCCTTCTTGCTGCTGAGGTGTCTGGCTGGCCTCGCTCTAGCATCCTTCCTTTCTCCATCCTCCTTGGCGGCCACCAGTACTCTCAGGGATGTGGTCTTCCTTCTCCAAGCAGTCCCCACTGCAGTCACAAGCCCTTGCCTAAGGCCTCATAAGGGGGCAGTGGCAGGGGCTGCCCCTTCCATGCTACTGTCACTACTCTGGTGAGATTCTTAACCCAAAAGAACTGAGCATTCAAGGAATACAACCAGACAGCTGGTAGAGTTTTATTTTTAAAATAGATCTGTCATATATGTGTATGCTTAAACAAAAGCAAGAAATGCATATTATAGAAACTACAGAAAAGCACATAGAAAACAATAAAATCATAATCCCATTATTTGGATAACCAAAATCAACATTTTGGGTGGATGCCTTTTTATTTATTTATTAATTATATTTGGTCAGAGTGGCAGGGTAGAGTTCAGGTTTTGCTGGGGTCTGATAGCCCTTAGATCTTTAAAACAATTTTTTTTTTTTTTTTTAAACTGAGTTATGGTGGCTCTCAGGCCACAGAATTAAAGGATGTTAAAATGACCATCCTCTTCTAAAACTGTGTCTGACAGCCCTGCCACCCCACCCTGCAGGGCCTGCCCTTACCAAACCCTACTGACATGATTTTCAGTTCTCATAATGCCTCATAGTCACAAAGTGTAACTTCCTGGCACAGTGCTTTTGCTTCACAAGGCAGCCATAGATTAAGAGCCAGGGGTGTGTTGGCAGGAAAAGCAGACACAGTGACCTTCTTGCCACATGGAATGATTATGTCTGGGTGTACTCTGAGAGTCTATTTTAGGATTTTGCATAACTCTAGCTTGGAGGGCCAAACGCTCCCTCCCTACGCTAGATGGAACTGGAAGGGGATGTGGAGAGTATGTCAACAGGACTGGGTGGGGGTGGGGGTCAGTCGTTAGACAGTCTTTAGTGAAAACATAGTCACTCAGGCACATAATATCCCCAAATTCATCCACCTGTGACCTAGATTAAATTCTCATCAAAGGAAGTAGTTGTAAATGAATGGACCAGATCAGCAATAAAATGCCCTTAAAAAATTCTAAAAGCAGTGTTTCCCTTAAACTCAATTTTATATCTGTAATTTTACTTCTGGATCATATACTTAATTTCACTTCTCTTCTTAAAGACAAAAGAGATATTATCAGCCATATTATCAGTTTATTCCATTTACAACCAGTGCTGAGCACAGAGTCTGGCATAGAGAAATAAAAGGTGGCTCAAGGAGCTCTACTGGCACAGGGGTTAAGGCATTTGACTGCTAACCAAAAAGTCGGCAGTTCAAACCCAGCAGCCACTCCATGGGAGAAAGATGAAGCAGTCTGCTTCCATAAAGATATGTTGTTGTTGTTAAGTGCCGTCGAGTAATTTCCAACTCATAGCAACCCCATGCACAGCAGAACTCCACTCCCATGGAGTGGCTGGTGGGTTTGAACTGCCAACTTTTTGGTTAGCAGTCAAATGCCTTAACCCCTGTGCCAGTAGAGCTCCTTGAGCCACCTTTTATTTCTCTATGCCAGACTCCATAAAGATATACAGCCTTGAAAAATCTATGGAGGCAGTTCTATTCTGCCCTACCGGGTAGCTATGAATAGGAATTGACTCTTTGGCAGTGGGTTTGGTTTTTTGCTACCTTTCCTTCTACAAGCAAGCCCTGACTCTTTTTGTCTTATGCCACCTCTGCAGAATTCTTCACACAAGATCCTCTAAGACCTCATCCAACTTAAAAGAAAAAAAAGGGAAAGAAAAAATCAAACCAGTTGCCCATGAATCAACTGTGACTCATGCTGACCCCATTTGCTTCAGAGTGGAGCTAA